GGTAATATATTATTATTTTATATTTTGATGAATCACAACGTAATATACAACTATATTCAGTTATGATTATAAAACAATATATACAAATATATTTAATTCAATAGAAAAAACACTTAATGCTTTAATTTTATGTTGAACAGGTAGAAATAAAACTTCCAGCAAATGATGTAAAATGTACTTATGAACACCTCAACCGCTTTGGTAATTTCTGCCAACACGCATTCAACATACTCATGAAACATGGAATTAAGGAAATACATGAACAGTACATTGATAATCGTTGGAGAAAGGATGTGATATCAGTGCATTATCACTTTGGTAGGCATGTATATGATACAGGAGACAGTGAAATTAACAAATCTGTCAATCAAGCATACTACAGCTTTGAAGCATGTTTGGAGTACGTAAGAAAAAATAAAGACAAAATGGATTTGTTTGTTAAAAAAACAGAAAGCATGTTGAAGGAATACGAGAACGATCCTACAAATGAATTGCAGAAAAATAGGACACATGTTGAAGAGGTAGGAAAACTTATGGGAATTTCTATTCCAAAAGACATTGACGTCAATGTTCCAAATGTTAAAGCAATAAAGGAAGTGGAAAGAACAATAGAATTCAAAGTGCAGTAGAAATAACATATAAAAATTTAAACAAGCAAACAAGAAGATGCTCCGGATGTTGAGAAAGGGTTCCTCATAACTTGCGTACATGCCCAATCAAACTTGCAGCAAAACAATTATCAAAAGCTACATAGATAATTACTAGTTTAATCAGTAATGAATAAGTCAGGATTTTTTTCTAAATAATATACTTTTTGTTTTATGGATTTTAGTCTTTTTACAAGACAGAATGTACTATGATTTTTTTTACTAAATTCTATATACTTTGATAATTCTTTCTTTGATTTTATTAGTAGTACAACAAATCAGTTTTCTGGAGATTTCTTCTATCTTGAACCTTATTCTATCTAACTTTATGTCTTTTACGATTACAAAAGTATATAATCACTTATGATTAAACAAAACCATATGAAGTGGTATTACATAATCATTTATGATTATACAAATAGAAGTAATTATGTAATCTATTAATTGTTATTCAATACATGTAATCATTAATGATTACATATAAACTGTTATTCAATACATCTAATAATTTATGATTACATATAAATAACATCTAAGTTCTACTACAAATATCATTACATATAATCATATACAACTACATTGTTCATAAAAAATATAAACATAACCATATTCATCTCGAAAAGCAACTTCCAATCACCCATCATATAATAACATCAAACTGATGGGGTTTGAGCATATCTACATTCCTATGTGATCGTGCAACCCTAATTTCTTTGGATCTAAGTTATTCTCTATTGAACATACAAATATGAACACCAAAGCAATAACCCTAGATCTAGTATACATAATTTCAAAATTCACATATATATTAGGGTTAGAAGATTACCTCACTTGTTATATTGTAATAACAAGAACAATCCTTGCTTGATCTTGACTTTTGAAAGCATAGTGCCTCAAGTGTTGCACCTCTAATGGAGTCACAAACAGTCAATGTAAAGGATGAGTAAGAGAGATGCTAGAAATCGGCCAGGGTTCTTCCAAAAACAAGAGTGGCCGAAAATCCATGCATGAGGGTCTTTAAATAGTTGTGGCTGCTAGGGTTTTCAAATGGAAACCCTAATTTCCTTGCTTAGGCCTTAAGCAGTCCATGGACCTCCTCAATTAGAAGCCTTGGACGAATTCTATAGGGCTTCCTATAGATTTCGTCCAGTCCTCCCAAAGGAGTCCATCAGCCCAACTTTGCAACTATCAGTGATTTGCAAAACCAGTCCCTCAATTATTAATTAGTTCCTTTAATCCTAAAATTAATATCAAATTAAATTCTAATTAATAACCAATTAATAATATGATTTTCAAATAATATATTAATCTTAAAATATATTAATAAAATCATTCTGAGTACCAATTTATTATTCATATAACAAATCCTACTCTCTCTCTCTCTCTCTCCACCAGTCATCCTATCAAGTTGCATGAGTGAAGGCAACGCAAAAGGACCATGCTACAAATCAAATCAAGTACATACCAATTATAGTTATGGGCTTAGAAACCTAATCCAACACAAACATGATCAAATCTTCAATAACAAATAATTTCACAAGCCTCAAATATCACGTTCCCCATTTTACAATATTCTTGTTCTTCGTGTTCGTAGCTAGATTTTCATACAGATTGTAGATGACTCCAAGAACACTTCCACCATTACTTAGAAAGATTATCTCCATTGAATATACCAAATCTTTGCTACATATCTGATGTAGAGAAATGTTGTTCATTAAAAAGAAATCTTCGTTAAATGAACAACATTCCTCTACTTCAAAGACATCTAGTAAAAATATGATATGTTCAATGAAGATAAACTTTTTAAGTAATGGTGGGAGTGTCGTTCTTGGAGTCAGCTACAATCTGTATGAAAATCTAGCTACAAATAAAAGAACAAGAATCTTGAAAAATGAGGACCATGTTATTAGATACAGCAAAATTAGTTCTTTTTGACTTATAGAGTCCATATTTTACCTGAAATGAAATGGAAGTTGTTTACATCATAAATAAATAATGGTGATATATAAAAAAATTAAATTAAAAATTAAAGAAATTAATAAACGATACTAACCATTGGAGAAGTATAAGAATGATTTTCTTCAAAAGTGAAAGAAAAATCAACATCATAAAATAAGACTTCAATGTTTGATTCATATATTTTACATCTTCACCACTCATCTTTGAACAAATCTAAGGGGTAGCACGAGGCTACCCCCTTGATAAAAACAAATTCACAGTTCATTGAAAAAACTGATTTGGTTTGATTTATAAAGCCAAGATTCTTCACTACAAACACTACAAAAAAAAAAAATCTAAAAAAGATAAGATTCTGGATGGTGATGTATTCAATGCACTCAAGATAAGATAAAAGTGTGCTCACTTATCAAGAAGAAAAATATAATAAATTATAATGTGGTGTTCAACATATGTAATCATTTATGATTACAAAAACAGAAAGAAAAAATTAATTGATGTTCAATATATTCTATCTATCGTTCAACATATATACCATCACTAATGATTATATATAAACAACATATAATGGGTACTAAAAACATAATTACATATAAAAAAATAACATAATCACTTATGATTAACATTCAATAACATAATTCATAGAAACAAACTTACATAATAAAATCCATCAAACTACATATAAACTTGTTTTCCATCACCATAAAAACAAACATTCTTCAGAATATGCATAACCATAAACACTTAGACCAACATAAACAAACTTGTTATTAAAACATCAACATTAAAAAAGCATCTAATCACCCATCATCCATTTACTTCCAAAATCAGAAAATCTTCAATAAAAAAACTTGACAGCCTTGTTTCTATATTCCATTGAGCATTATATGAATGCTTACCAAGAATCTTTGGACAAACTTTTTGATACTCATACGCAGCTTTCAACACATCATCACGCTTCATATTAATCTCAGAAGTTAAAATTGTTGCTTCATATTTCATTCTCAACTTCTCCAAAAAAATTTCTTGAGAAGGACCTTCTTTTGGAAGACTACATTTCCATTTAGAACCTTTTTCTCCAAAATAACTCTCCATATGTCTCATAGAAAAAACACCACAATCCACTTTGTTGTAAACTGTCTTCCATGGCATTATCAATCTTCTGGTGTAAGATTTTTATCAACCATTTCATTTGCTTTAACATGCTTGATCTTTTTAAGATACTTCAAAAAAAACTTTTTTCTGAAAATCATATATAATTTGAACTCAGAAAAATATAAGTATAATAATTATAAAACATATCATATATGATTTCAAATATAAAGATTAAATATGATTTGAACTTACAAAAGGTTTAAAAATTACACCATACTTATCATCAAAATCAACATTATCTACACCATTGTCAATAACCTCAAAAGCAGGTTTCTTCAGATTGATAACAATAAGATATATGTGCTTTTGCCTCACAACAGGGAAAAACACCTGACATCAACGTGTATAATATTAGAAAGAAAACATTAGTATATATATATATACACACACACACACACACACACATATATATATATATATATAATATATATATATATATATATGTATATATATGTATATATATATATATATATATATATATATATAATATATATATATATAAACCAAATATACCATATCAACATCCTTCAAAACCTTCAACTCTCTATCACTAGAAACACTGATAGAGAAGTTGTCCTTGAAAACTTTATATTTTCCAATTTCCTTTAAATGATTATATTCAAGTGACAAAGTCTGTAATATAATAAAAAATCAGAAATGATTATATAATAAAATGTAAATATTTAATAAAAAAATTATTAATCATTATCAAAATATGAAAAGAAAAACATAAAATAAAATCTTACAGTATCAATATTCGTGAACAATCTGAGTGGAGAATTAACATCTCTGAATTCTCTTAATGATTTAGTATACGAGACCATGAATCAAGAACACTTACATGCAAATAGGTTTTTTTATAAAGACTTTCATAATTAGCTCTAAAACCCATAAGATCTGATTCCATAAGCAAGACCATATCCATATAGATATTTATTTAAATGTTATTAAAAATAAAAAATTATAATTATAAAAATAAAAAATTACCCTAGATTTCTTTGAAGACTGAAAAGCCATTGACAAACAAAATTTTCTACTTGTGTCAAACTTGGTTTAAAATCAATTAACCTTTTCTTCAAAAGTGACTTATAAACATAAGAAAACTTCATTTCTCTCTTTCTTTTGACATCTACTTCTGATGACCCTTCTTTATTTTTATCTTTAGGTTTGCCAGACTTTGCTTTTGATGGAATTTTTCATTTATCACTCTAGCTAGGTCAGAAATTGGTTTTGATGCTTCTTCTAATGAACCCAAAGGGGGTGCAAAAAAACTAGACTAACATCAATAACATCAACATTTGGAACATCAGAATTTGGTTTTGGCCTAGCACTTGGTTTTGCCAAATAAACTCTATCCTTAATCTTTTTGTTTGTCATTCGTTCAGGAGAACTTTCACTTTGACATGCCTTCTTGGAACCTTGAGAATCATGACTAAATCCAAGGATAAAACTTAGAACATAAAACTTCTCAACTTTCTCTTCTGCTTTGTCCTTTTTCAATGATTGAGTCTCATTTGAATCCTTCCATTGTATAATTTGAAAACCTTCTTTAGCAGTTTCTACCCAAAAAAATTATAAAAATCATATATGAATAAACAACAATTATAAACACAATCATATATGAATAAACAATAATTATAAACTAATTACCTCCATCTTTATTTTTATTTGAACAATCTTCTATTGCTTTCCCTAAATCCGAAACAACTTCAACATCTTCACCTTCTACCACACCTTCTCCATCATTCTTTGCTTTAGAAATTTCAACTAACACTTCAACAAAACCTTTCAATAAACTTGGATGAATTAATTCATTTTCTTTCTTCTTTTCTACAATAACTTTATCAACAGTATGATCTGAAATTACTTCTTTGTTATGATCATCCTCACCAAAATTTATAGTCCCTAAATTATTAAAATCATAAGTGAATCATCTACATAACATATTCATATATATTTTATGTATACAAATACATAAATAAATACTTACCATCATCAAAATTCGTTTTTCTGAAAACCAGTCAAATTGCCATTTACATTATCATCAACTCGTTTATGATTTATACAACCATCAACCAAGTTTGCAGTACCTATAAAATTCAAATATAAAAATTTAAAATCATATATGATTAAACTATATATAATAAAAACATATGATTACCTTGATCCAAAGTTTTAAGAAAACTTTCAACAACTGGATCGTACATGAATTGACTAAAAGATACACCTTCCTGGCTATCAATTAGACCAACACTCTTAGTAACATTTTCGACAATAGAATTTAAATTCATGGCCTCTTCTTCATTGCATTCACTTCCATTTCCTTGTTCATCATCTTCATCATTTTTCTCATTCAACAAATCATTATCTTTACCAATATCGTCCTCATATGCATGATCATTAACATCACCTTCAGCACCATAACTTTACCTTCGACGTCATTTTTACCAATATTGTCCTCATATGAACCATTTACACCCCCCTCAGCACCACCCCATTCCACTTGATCATCATCTTCAATATTTTCATGACCGTTCAGAAAATCATTCCCATAATCTTCATCAAGATTTACTTCTGTGATTTTTTCATCATCTTTAACTTGACCAAAAGCAGGTGTCAATATCGGTTCTTTATTTTGTTGTGAAACATAATGGAAATCAAAACTTTATGTGCTTAAATCTTCAACCGGAAATAATAATTTCCAACTTTTCAAATTTTAACTTTGAGGAAACTTCAACACTCCCTCATCTATCTTTACAACAAGATCCTTTTTCAAATCCTCCATCTTCTAATTCATATATGAAATTTTACTTTCATACACCTACATAAGAAAAAAGATACTTAAAAACAAGATACTTTATCACAAAAAGTCATAAATGAATACACTAATAAAACAATAAATGAATAAAACTATAAAATTACCTCCACAACACTAACTTTATTAACATCAAACTCTTCTTCATTCTCATCACATAAATCCTCATCACCATCAAATTCATCCTCATCACCACCAGATTCATCCTCATTATACTGAGATTCTTGACATTCTTCTTCAACATATGGTTCATTAACATCTCCACATCCAAATCCTCCATTCTATTGTAAAATATCCTCAAGAAACCTTATCTTCTCTGACGTCCAACAAAAAATAGTTGGACGTTTACGTGTGACTTGCAAATGATCAAACTTGAAACTATCCACATACAACAACTACAAAAACGATATATACCAAATAAGTTAATTTTCTAAAAAGATTTACTTGTACAGTTTAATATATCATTAATCATAATATATATGAATAATCATATATGATTATGATGTGTAATATATAATTCAACAAAAATTATACTATATAATCATATATGATTATACAATCATATTGATTTATACAAATCAAATATATCATTAATCTTAATATATATGAATAATCATAAATGATTATGTTGTGTGATATATAATTAATCATATATGATTATCCAATCATACATGCTTAAAAATAAAAACAAACATATTTTTACAATTAAAAAAAGATTTAATATTAAAAATTAGCTCACATACCATAAGGTATGCTATTGGTCCATAAAAGAAAGACGATTCATTCTCTGGGTTGTAAACCTTCTTCGTCCTTACCAAACAATCGAAAATGAAATCGCACCAATCAATGCTACTTAAATGAGTATCTCTTCTGATTAAATACAATGGATTCAAATTATATTTACCCATGCTTGTAGACTCACAAAATGTATTAATAAAAAGAACCAAAAAAATTGATTCTAAAGTTATCATCCACTACACTAGTTCGAACAAGTTCATTCTTTAGCTGTTTCAAACTCAATTTATCAATATTTCCATACTGTTTCTTCCACTCAAACATAAACATACAGCTCTCTTCATTATTCTCGGAAATGTAATCCATGTTTGAAAGTAATGAGCCACCAGATGGTAATCCTAACATCTCATGAACAGATTTACTATCAACACTAACTTGACAATTCTCAAACCCCACCTTCAAAGTTTCAAAATTAAAATGATAAAGAACATAATAAACAATCTTTAACTGTACGTCAATCATCTTCATCCGTAACAAACTCCCAAATCCCATAGCCCTAACACACTCCTTCTGTTCTCTATTTAGAGCTTGAATAACACCTAACAATGACCCGGGTGAACATCTATTCTTCAATGAAGGAAATTCTTTTATAACAACAACTTCTTTCTCTTTCTTCACAAGTTTAGCTTCTCTCTTTTGGTTTCTTTTATGATCCAGGACGACTCTGAAAATCAGAATCATCTTCATCAGATAGTTCACGTTTCTTACTTATAGTTTTGACCTTCTCAAAAACTAATTTCTTTCCCTTAACGGTCAGGTTCACTTTTGGTTGTTCAATAACTGTTTTTTGGATTTATTTGACCGTGTTTGCACCACCGCCTTGGCCTTTTCTTCTTTTTTCAAGATGATTGTGTCTGCCTTGAGCTCTCCAAATTACCTTTTTTAACTACAATTTTTATTAGAAAAATAGTGTTAGTAAAAAAGAAAACATAATACATATAGTAAGTTAAAAATGAAGAAACGTAATCACTTATGATTCAAAACATACCTTTATACTTTTTAACCTTGGAATTTTTCTCTAAAATATCTTCACTTTCATTCTCATAAAAAGAAGCATTTACTACAAAAAAAGTAACATAATTAGTAATTAATACAGAACAAAAATGCATATGACTAATAAACTATGATTTTAAATCACACAATCACTAATAATTATAAAAACATACATTTGTCATTATTATTTACTAATGATTATAAACAAACATATAAAATCATTTAAGATTAGAACTAGAAATAAACATATAACTAAAGGTTATGTTCAATCCATTGAAAAAATCACAAAATCAGTTATGATTACAACAAATACCTTTAACATTTCTTCTCTTTGAAATTTTATCTTTAACTTCGCCAGAAAGATCTTCATATTCACGTTTGATACATAGAAATACAAAATATGATAATCATTTATGAATAAAAAATAATAAAAGAAAATGCAACAAAAAATATCACAAAAACCACTTTGAAAATTGATTGTTTGAACTGTACCTTTGGAAATAACACCACTTCTAGCACCTTCAAGATTTTTTTGATTTTTGAACTTTTTTCAAACATAGCTTCTTTTGAAATCCTTATCTGTGAAAATATAAACAACTACTTAGATAAAAAAATCACCAGAAACAAACATAATAAAAAACAGATGAACTGTAAACGAAAAAATCATCAAAATCAAGTAAAAATGACGAAAAAACTACTGAATCAAAACTAAGATCATCATTATCAACATAAAACTACAGTTAACTAATTAAAAACAAACATGCATTATCAATAAAATGAAATATACTCGCATTCTAACCTTTAATTTCGATTAACGAAGATGCGACTTCGTTTAGATTTTCTCCAGAAGACATTTACTGATTGTTCAAACTTAATTTTCATAACTAACAAACGAAAACTAGGGCAAAATGCGATAAAGAAAGAAAAAGAGGGTTTTCGTGAGAGTTTCTAAGTGAAAAATTACAATGGTTACTAACGGCGTTAATTTGAAAAGTTATATGATTCTTTGAAAAATTACAATACTAGCCCTACAATGGTTACTAACGGCGTTAATTTGAAAAGTTACCTATGTATTTACCATTATGCCATCGCCACATTTTACAAATAAAGATCATAACATCAAAGGGTTATCCACATATCTCACGATCTCTAATTTTTTATTAATCTCAAAGGAACCAACATCTCTCTCTCTCTCTCTCTCTCTATATATATATATATATATATATATATAATATATATATAGATATATATATATATATATATATATATATATATATAATATATATATATATATATGGAGGGTTCAATTGAAAAAAAAAGGTTGAGAACAAAGGAATGAATCTGGGCCACTAATTTCGAATCTGCCGCTTAAGCGCCCCAACGTAATACGCCGACGGAACAGATCATATTCATTTATTAATACGTATGAATAAGAGTGTTAATATATGAGTACGTATATTCATATATGAATAAGTATAACGAAAGTGATTACTCATATATGAGTATGGTGGCGGTGGATGCGATTGTTGGTGGTGGTTGGTTGTTGAGGTGGTGGTGGTGGCGGATGTGGCGGTGGTGGCGGTTGGCGGCGGAGGGGAAGTGGTGTATTCATATATGAATACACTTAAATATAATCATATATGAATATTACTCATCCCCCGTCGGCCCGGTACGCCAGAGCGTTTTGTGGCAAAAATAAATGATTGGTTGAGAATGATTCCTCCATTCTCAATTTTTTTTATTTTCTCAATTGAACTTACTTCTCTCTCTCTCTCTCTCTCTCCATATATATATATATATATATATATATATATATATATATATATTATATATATATATATATATATATATATGTTGGGTTTTTATTCAAAAATTAGTTTCAAAAACATAACATTTAGCAACGGAAGACTTATAATATTTTGAATAACATAAAACAAGTTTATAACCCACCAAGGATCTTCTTGCAAAGTTTGGAAAGAAAACATTCGCCAAAGAAGAAGATTAAATTACAACCTTTGTAGTTCTTTGGATCCTCTTAGGAGGCTTGGAAGTTGATGAAGAATGATGAACTTTAGAGAGTCCAACAATGAATCAACTTGATGTAGAATGCTAGTTCTTTTGTATAAAACTCTAGACTCTTAAGCTTTATGTTCTTATCGAAATAAGACCATAAAGAGAGCATAAGCAAGAGTGTGATCGTGAAGTATTCAAATAAAACTAGAGAAAAACACACATATATGCACATTTATGATTTTTTGCATGAGTAGTGAAAGAGATATGAAAGCCTCACTTTATATAGAAAATCTTTGGTCCATAAGTTCTTAACACTTTAAGAACCCATGCCCCTAAAGCTATGTGTTCCCCATGCTTCAAGCCATGCCATTCTTTTGAATAAAGTAATTGAAAGACCATCACTCCTTATTTTAATCATATTGTCCATGCTTATCCTTTTAGAGGAGTGTTCTTTTCATTAAACAATTGAAAAACCATACTCTCTTTTGTCTAGCCATATTTCTGAAATATGAAGGCAAAAGAAGACAAAAGCCTTTTATATTTTATAAACCAAGTTTATAAAATATAAACTTTAACTTTTTGGTAAAAGACAAAAGAATTTATCTCGTCTAAAATGTTGTCATTGACTTATTCATTCATACCATATGAATTATATATAATGTTACTTGCTAATGAAAATCATTATTTCCTAGAAATAAATAATTTCTAATTTAATTATAAGAGTTTATTGAATATTTATTAAAATCAAATTTTAATAAATAATTAATTATATCAAGTTGTTGGTAGTGTGACCCTTTAGTATCATATGTTAATTAGCAATCTCACTTTAATATAATTCTAGAGCATACTAGATCTTTCAATCTCCCACATGTGCAAGATTCATATTAGACTGATATAGATAGTGGTGAACGTCTATCAACATTTCACTGCCCTTATCAACATGCGACTTTATGCCATTCTATGAACGCCCAAAAAACTCCAAGCTCCAATTAGTGTATAAGGTAAGTCGATCAGTTATCCCTTTGTCACAGCCATCATGTTAAACATGAGATACGGATCACAATCAATCTCATATCGTGTTCAACTTTTGGTAAGGTGACTTATATGTCTAACTCTCAATACATAAGAGGAACAAATCCCATCTTGACTACATAAGCCTCTTACATAGTTCTTACCATACCTGAAAATGGCTTTTATAACTTACCGATTAAGGACGAGCATTTGACCATATCTAAGCACAGTACTCCTTACACTTATGTCCCACTATGTATCTTAGGTGTTGTAACACCCCGTTTATTAAATAAATAAATAGACAAATTAATGAATGATCAGTAGCCCTAAAATCAATAATAATATAGCAAGGTGTTGGTCTCGAGGAGTTAATTGTCACAATTTTAGAAGTTAGGGGTTAAAAGTGTAAGTTCCGGAGTGGTTTATAAATATTTATGAAGGCAGGGATAGCTTGGTAAGTTATTGGGACTTAATTTGAAGAGATTTTGGAGGCTAAGGGGTTGTTTGGTAAGTTTTGGATCTAAAATGAAATGAATTTGGAATGCTGAGGGATAAAAGGGTAAATTATGGATCCATTTTGAAAGAAAAGGGGAAGGGAAGGACCAAAGGTGGCATTAAGGAATAAAGTTTATGGGGTTAGGGTATTTAACATGTCACCCTTGTCCAACCCTAACCCTAATCAGATTCATTAGCCGCCACCTTCACCTCTTCAACCTCCGACGCCGCCATCCTTATTCCTCCCATCCCAGCCGCCACCTCCCTGTTTGTTGAAGCCGGAAAACACCGAAGTAGCACCGGAACATCCGTCGTACCCGTCTCACTGCCGACGAAGACATGGATTATGAAGCTCGAGCCATTGTTGTGAACGAGAGAGACCGGTCGGACTGCAACCATCGACGACGCAATCACCTCTCCATCATCTTCGCATTCCCATCGCGTTTTACTGTAGTTGTAGATGTCATGCGGCCGTTCCATGACGTTGATGCTCTCCGGCCGCCGCCTGCCGTCTTGTGGTTGCCGAGCGGGTTGCGTTTTATGTTATCATCGAGGAATGATGGCATTGTTCATGGCTCGTGATGTGTATTCGTATATTTGGGGATGTTCTGTCGAGTAGGAGTAGTGAAGAACCACCATGGCAGCCGGCCATGGTGGCTACCATCGTCAACATCGTCGTTAGGCATTGCTGTTGCTGCTAGTACTGTTGTTTCCTTCGCCATACGCCACCAGGTGGGTGGTTGGATTCATCAGTCGAGATATATGTGTTGTGTGTGGTGTTGCTTAGCCAAACATAACAAGAGAGCCGCCACCACCACCTTGGGGTGGTGGCTAGCACCTCCGACCACCGCCTGCCACCACAAGCGTGGTAGTATGGGTGTGTGTGTTATATTAAGTGTATATTTCTTTTGATGATGTGTTGTATGTATATTATTTGGACAGAAAACCCGTAGAAAACCCACCACCACCACCGTGAGGTGGTGGCCGCCATCGTGAGCCGTCATTGACCACCACTACCCGAGGTGGTAGTGGGTGGTGCCCAACTTAATTCATAATTAATTGATCTAAAAACTTAACTAATGGATTAATTGGAACATGATTAGGTTGGAAACCCTAATTAGGATTTAGAAAACCCTAATTTGGCTTGGGCCTTGAGTTGGGCCTTTCTATTGGGCTTTGGTGATTGGGCTACTGCTGGGCTATCCAAGAACAAGTAAATGGACTAAAATATTTGGATGGGCTTTAGGGTAAGGCCCATGTGAGGGACTTGGGCCTAATTTGGAAAATTGGGCCATAAATGGGCACATGTGGACCGCCTCACAGGGCCTTCAACCTATCCGGACTGATCGACGGGCCTTCGGCCTGACTAGTATGCCCTCCCGAGTCTGTAGTCTATCCGTTCCGCCCTGGGTATGTTGGCCTTTAGCACAAAGCAGGACCGCCTCAACCCAGCCCCCAAATCAAACAATCATGTGCACATAAATATCATACGCTAGCATATATAACAGTCAAACTGATCTAGCAGACCACTAATCATAGCAACATCCTATAACCAGGATACAGACCTGATCGGTCACTTAAATAACATCATCCTATATACCAGGATACCGACCTAACCAGGTCACTAAGCATATCACCATCCTAACTACCAGGATGTTAATCAATAAGCATATCATGAAATAAACCCGGATACAAATCCAAAAAGGGTCGACATTGGTGCCTTAGACCCTATTGATATAGTGAGAAGAACTGTTAAGGATACAAAGATAGTACCTTTTAATCAAGTATCATTCATGATAGCGGTCCATGAGATGATCTTGATGTGGGTTAGTTCAATACTAGTTCTGTAACAAGTACCTATGAAACTTGGTTACAACCCATTGCCTACCTTCATCTAGTGAAAGTCAACCAATTCAATTCATATTAGTCTTATTTCATAATTGCTCCCATAATTATAACCGACTATGAACTTTTAGAATAATAAGATTATTCATGGATTAAACATATTAATATAGAACACAACAAGTATTGATGTTATGATCATATCCCAGTATATCAAAACATTATATAATAGTTGTTGTTACAATGTTTCAATATCCAAATACTAAATCCAAATCAAAATCCCATTTCTAGAATAATAAAGTCTTATAGCCCAAGTGTGACCATTCGTACTTAGCTTAAAAGGACTTTATTAATGGGTCCGACTAAACTTGATTTATGTGAATTCTGAGAATAATATCATCTCCATATTTGACTTTACTCTAGGTATAGTTAAATATGTTGGAGTATATGATTGGTGTTCTTTCATGACATAGAGTCTCTTAGCTCGATTAAGTATACTCTCGAAGTCACAAAGATTTCTATGTGATCCTTGAATGGCAGATATCAACATAACTTTTCAATGAACTAATTCATCCAATCATATTAGATTTCAACTTCTAAAGTAGTGTATTCTTATTTTGTATTTGATTGTGTCATTTTGTTTTGCTTGGACCTTATTCCAACTAAACTTACTTTTCATTCCACAATAAAGTCATAATCTAATTATAATTCATAATTATATATATTTGTTTAGAAATCAAAATCTTATGTAGCTCTATATATAAAGATTTTTATTCTAAACTAATTGTGTCATATACATTCTCTTAGTTCTTCTAAAGTGCTCATAGAATGTTCCTAAAGTCCTCTGGTGACTTAACCATGTATTCAATTGGTATATTATGATATGGTCATAATATGATCATATACTAGATCCTATGCATAATATGGCATAAATGATGGATTCATTTGCCAATCAAATCGAATATAAATCATCTCAGCTAGTTCAAACCTATGAGCTAGATCCTTTTGATGCTGGCTCAAAATCAGTGCCATGTGTAAAGGTTCCTCCAAAGGAATCTTCCATCTTGATCTCTTTCAAGATATTGTCAGTATATATGCAAAAGGATATAAAACTTTTAACATTCATTTTATCTATCTCTATAGATTTTACATTCCAAGAATGTAACTTGTCCTTCCTAACTCTTTCATTTTAGAAACACATTCCGAGTCAAAGTGAAAAGGTCTGGCATGGTCAGAATGTAATTTCTTATGATTAAGTATGTCTCATTCATACAAGATTAGGAATGTCACTATGCTCCCACTAGTTCTTAGTAAACACACATGTTCTATTCATTTTGATAAAAACATACCTTATTGTTTCATCTTAAAATGATGATTACAGCATTGAGATGTTTTCTTTATATCCACAAGTGGATCTCAAGCTTTACATATCTTGTTAGGATAACATGGATTAAGAAAATCTTCAGGCTAATCTATATAGATATATTCTAGTAGATGTCTATTAAGAAAAGTGGTCTTTCTTGAAATCTACTTGCTATATTTCACATTGAGAATGTGAATTTATAGTAAACAATATCCTTTTTCATCTAATCATAGCTACTTGTGAAAAAGTTTTGATCATAGTCAATGTCGTGAGTATGATAAGGACCATAGTAAATGACATGAGTATGAGAAAATCCTTTTATAACAAGTCTTGCTTTAAATGTGTATGATTATCCATGCAATGTATTCTTTCTAAAAGAATAACTTACTCCTTCTAACCTAGCCATATGGAGGAAGTTTAGTTAAGACCATACTTGATTATCATACATTGATTACATCTCATGTTCATGACTCTATGTCATTAATCAGATTCGAGATCTGACATAGCATCTTGGTATTTGATGGATTTTCTAGAAACCATCAATAAAAGCTCATTAATGAGAAATTCCATATTTCTCAAGTCATAAATGATTTATACCACTAAAGCGAACAATTTGTGTTTGTGAATAGCTATTATTCAAGTTTAACAATCCCTTATTGAATCTAGTGCCAACTGTAACTACATTAGGTTATGGTTCTTGAGCTTCTTCAAGTTCCATGTACCTCCTACTTGCTTTGTCAATAGAAGCTTGCTTTCTACTAACTAAACTATCAGAGGAATAAGAAAACTTATTCTTGGTGGGTTTTCTTACAATAATCTAAGCCACATTTAGAGTATTATATACAAATATGTATTTAGTAGATTTTGGGTTTAAAAGCTTTAATCCAACATAGGCTTTAAATACATAAAAATTTTAAGTAAGATAGGGATGGAGCCTTTCCATACAAAATCTTATGAAGAAAATGTTAGATCTACTAGTTAATTGGTGTTTTTACTCAAGGTACAATTGATAGTGTTCTAGGTGTTATTCCAAGGAAATAAAAGGATGACATTTCTACCGATTAGAAAGTAAATCATATCAAGTAAGATTTCATTCATCCTTTATTATCATTAAGGCCTTAAATGGTTCTTACCGGTTTGTATCTCAACTTTATATTTGAAAACATAAACAAAGGTTCATAATTATGTTTTACCATGTAAAATATAACTGAAACTACCATAGTTATTAATAAGTGATTTGATATCTTATGATAAATCTTAGACATTCATTAGAAAGGAATTCATACATAACCATGTATAGCTCCTTAATAATTTATTTTCTCTACTACTTAGTGAAAATATAATTAGCAATTGTAACACTCGTAAAAATCATGATAAATTTAAACTTTTTAAATATAACCCAAAACCATAAAGTGTTTACAAAATAGTTTTCAAAACATTTCCAACATCGGAGTTTTCCCAAAATCATAGATCATAACAAGAGGATGTGTACGGTCATGCCTTCGCCTTCCTGCAGTCAGCCGAAGTACCTAAAACATAACTCAAAACTCTAAGCCAACGCTTAGTGAGTTCCCCCAAAATACCAACACATAACCAAATAACATGTTCACAATAACAACATGCAATGGGTCCACAGCTAAAAGACTGGATTACCCCTGAGCCCACAACATAAGTCTCGCTTGCCCTTAGGGCCCAGAACTTATGTCTAGCTTGCTCCCCGACCAGATCAGTCCGCAAACTGAATACCATCAAGCCCTCAGTACGAATCTGGCATACCGCCCGGCCCTTAGCTCGTATCTGGAATGGTCATGAGCCCTCAGTATGAGTCTGGCATGCCCTACCTGGCCCTGAACTCATATCTGGAATGCTCCAGGATTTGTTGGCTACCGCACGGAGAAATACAGCACCAACCCCACACAATATGTCGATATATACCAGGTAATAAACATATACATATAATCATGCAACAAAATCACAGGTAGTCCTACAGATCTACCAGACTAGCATATCAATAACTAGCATAAACATGCATATCTATCCCATACTCAGCATATCAGTGAATTTCAAACCAATGGGCCGGCCTGTTGGGTTTTAAGTACTATAACACTCCTATGGTGCATATACAACCCTAGATGATTTGGATCTAAGTTTTCTCTTATTATACATGCAATTTCATTTTCCAAAGCATATACCCTAACTAGCATGCAATCGGAGATATACAACATAAAAAACTAGTTAGAAGAATACCTTTTATTTGTAGCTTGTAGTTCTTGGCCTTTCAAAAGCTTAGCACCTCAAATGTGATGCCTCTAATGTGTCACAAACACCAAAAGCAAGAGGAGGCTTATGAGAGAGAGGTTT